TGAGATGTGATATGATAAATGAATAAGGTGACAGCCTCACTAGATATCTTGGGAGATGGTAGACGGACTAGGTTCATAGGGAACCCTACCGTGAACATTGTCTCATACTGGACGGAGAATGGAGACTTGGTCATTTAGTGCTCATGTCAGACGGGATATAGAGACTTGATCATTTAGTGCTTATGTCGGACGGGGTATGAGGACAGCCCGCTTCACCCTCATACCGGACGAAATATTGAGATTTAATGTCTTGACACTCATACCGGACGGGGTATGGGGACAACCCTGTAATTAAGATTGTTAAGGGGAATGGTTCACGTGTAGCGGGGACACCCCTATGGATCCCCATAAATACTAGTAGGCTGGTGAAAACGAGAAACGGTGATAATCAGTTATTGTTAATGAATACGGAGTTATGATATGTTTTATATTACTGATATTGTATGAAATTATGATCTGTTTTATGGTAAGTGAACTATAAATATTTTTATTTATGATAAACGAATTTATTTAAATCTACTGCTCCATTGGTTGTTTTGATTTTCTACCAACCTTTACTTCCGTGACGGTGATATAGTGTGATGTCCTTACTAGATTAATGTAGCTCATTCCTTATTTAACAATTTCATATCAAGAATACCTGGTTCCCGAACCCGATCTACAAGAAGACTACGAGTAAATGCTAGATGTTTTATAGTTTCCTTAATTTTTCTCATTTCTCGTATTTCTTTCAGAGAACTTATTCCCTAATGTTGTTTAGTACTTTTAAGTTATTGTGTAAGGAATGTTAACCTTAATCTTTTATTTCGCTTCTGCACTCAGATTATTATATATATATATTTTTTTAATTTAAAAGGTCGTTACATATGCATTCGTCAGTTTATCACAATGTAATCAATAGCTTGTGTGGTGAATGTCCCACTAGATCTACGGTCCAACACATGTTGATCATAAAAGGCATATACTAACACATCATCCATAAAAAATATCCAATGGACAGAGTTGCTCCCTCCATCTGCAGATCTGTTTCTCCTTGCCATTTTCTAAAACACACAGTAAAACATTAACATATATAATCACATATCATACAACACCAACATATATAATCATATAATTATATAGTCCTATACCATTCAACACAAACAAATATAACCAACAGATATAATCATATACCATACAAAGTCCAAATTATATTGTTCAATTAAAACTTTAAAATATCTCACAAGTCATAAACCATATAAATGTCATAAACAACACAATTAGTTCAAAATGTAATCAAGCATTTTAAGCAGCCCACTTATCAGCTGCTATATGATCTCTAATAGCTTCCCCCCTTCTTGTTTTCTTAATACTATCCCTAATGTTATATTGATTTCGTTCATCATGATAAACGGGCTGAAGTTCTTTATCAATCTCTACAAGAAGTTCATCATTTGGATCCTCTTCCCCGTAAGTAGTTGTGCAAAATGCAACAACCAAATATAATGTGATTAAGAGTCTTGAGACGATAATGAAGTTCAGTAGAGCTTGAAATAATTAAAAACTGTCTCTTAAAAACTTCAAAAGCACATTCAATCGCATTATGTAAAGAAGTACAACGAAGATTAAATAGTTCACGAAACATTGCAAGGTGGATTCCTTGAGTATTCACTCAAATGGTATCGTTCTCCCTTATATGGAATTAATGAGCAGAAACTTCTGCAGCTATATCAAAGAAATATGCAGCCAAAGAAAGCGAAATCCATTTTCACTTCCTGTTGCAATTGATGTTATGCTTCAAATTGATAAGAGGAATGAAATATTTTCACTAAAAAAAGATTACGATTTTTTTTTTTCTTTTTAGAAGTCAAATGGAAGTTACTTGATGCCAGAGAGAAGAAAATAGGGCTGACTACTCTTTTTGTTGTTTGCTTTTGAAAAGAGACCGACTAAATTATAAAATGGATCTCTACATTTTTAATAAAAGTCCAAACACATAAAAAAAAAAAACAAAGTCAAAACAGCATTTGAGAGGAACAATAGCAGGAGAAAGAAAAACAACGAATTTCATCAATTAGAGAGGAACAATAGCAAAGACTTTTGAATTTCACAGATTATAAAACTATGATCTGTGAAAAAAAAGTCCAAACACAAAAAAAAAAAAAAAAAAAACAAAGCTAAAGCAGCATATGAGAGGAACAATAGCAAAAAAAAACAACATATTCTATCTATTAAAGAGAAACAATAGCAAAAAGTCTTGAATTTCACATATTCAATCTAATAATATGTGAAAATGGATCTTTACTTTTTTTTAAAAAAAAAATAAAGTCAAAGCAGCATATAGACGAACAATAGTAGAAAAAAAAACAAAATTTCATCTATTAGAGAGGAACAATAGCAGAAACTTTTGAATTTTACAGATTATAAACAGAAGCAGATGAAAAAATCAAAGAAAATCATTACCCACCACAAAAATCAGTACATACCTTTATTGATGTTGTGTTTGGTGAAGCAAGTTAATATCGGTGAAGACTCTCGCAACAAGCAGAAGCATAATATCAAAGCGAAAGAAGTAGAAGCAGATAAGAAGAGGAGAAGCAAGCTGCGATGAAGAAAGAATAAGCAGGTCTGGATAGAAGAAAAACAAAATTTGGGTTTATAGGCAAATAGAAATTAATAAATAATTATAAGGTAAACGGAAAGAAAAATATTCAAGCATTAAAATTATCGAATTGATGGCTTGAAAAATTAAAAAATTAAAAAAAAAATATATATACACCTAAATATGACTCACCACCATACTATTTTTTTTAGTTAGAAATGATCCAAATAAAATAAAC